TGAAAGTTTATTCACAGGAAAAGCACAAGCGTGAAAATACTGAATTACCAGCCTCGGCCTGTTTGATTTATTCCTAGCTGGAGAAGGAATTCCAGATTCCACGTTGGCAATTGCTTGTTTTCTTTTCAATTAGTTATTAGTCCCGAGGTTCCCTTCCCAAAATTTAATTTTTAAAGTAAAGATTGTAAATGAAATTGAATCAATGGTTCAATACGTAAAATCTAACACATTAAAATAATGTTCAAAACTTTATTTTTCAATGATCGTGCACTTGTGTCCCGGAAACCGGCCGTAGCGCGTTTTCGTTCAAGGAAACGGAAACTGCTACCGTACAAATTAAAGCCATTTATACAAGTGAATATATGAAAGATCATATATTTGAACTGCGGAGAAAGATATAAATACATGATTGACATCGTAGTTATACACACAAATTAAGCAGTTGTGAAATTAAAGCCCGAAAAAAATTCAGGCCGGAACCCATGACCTCCGCGATACCGGTGCAGTGCTCTACCAACTTAGCTATCAAGCAAACTGGGAGCTGGTCACATTGTAAGTTCGTTATATAACCGTAGATGGTGAGGAATACAAATGACAATTTGAAAGATCATATATTTGAACTGCGGAGGAAGATATAAAGACATGATTGATCATCGCAGTTATACACACAACTTAAGCACAATTTCACAACTGCCTGAGTAAGTTATTTGTCCATGCATAAATAACACAAACAACACAAAGAATCAACTGAGCTGTATAAAGCACTGGGAATACTGCTTTTGAAAGTTATTTTTACAAGTTAACAACTATAAAAGCGAATTTTGACGATAATTGTAGTTCACGTATGTATTACATACATGATTACCATTTTAGATTTAGAATAATGGCGATTACAACCAGCCTCTTTAAGTGCTACTATGGTGAAATTCGCATCTTTCATATCTAAGACATTTTAATCCATTGGCACCCAGATCATTTTGGCAAAAACGCAATTAGGCTTTTTTGACATTTTCAACGTGGATCCATCAGTGAGCTAAATTAGCTCCAATCTACTAAAACAAAAAGCAGTTGCAACAAGACAGCATGCCTTTCTGCCTTTCTTTCCACTAGCATCGCGTTTTATGACATTTTTTCTCGGGTATGCACACAAGTCCAAATTTCTGGACGAGAAAGTGATCTACGTCTTAACGTTTTTCCGATGTTTCAATTTTTTTCTCCTTTCCTTTTTCTCTTTTTCTTATCTTTTTCCTGCAGTTGTTGGCCATCTACTGGGCTTGCTTCCAGTTCAAGAATTCCCAAGTAACGTTTGACTGAATATTGCCACAGAAGTAAGTAGTCGGCTAGATTTGCAATATTTGGAACTTGGCTGTTCTCGCGATTTTCATTCACCGCTAGCTTGCTAGATATGTCAGTGTAATGTACCTCTTTTACAGATCTAATAGCTACATATTAAAGATGAAGATAATTTTATATAATTTGTGGTCGTGATTCAATGTGATGTTAGTGGTTTCTGACAAAATAATTCCCCCCCCCCTTGCCTCTATGTACTTTTCAGCCTGAGAGATTGGATCCATGAGGAAATCACAGGAAAAATAAAACAAAATAATAATCATTTGCAGAGCCATTTCTTTTATTTCAGGAGATGAGAAGCATCATGATTTAATAGACCATATTTGTATTCTCGGTATTGGACTAGCACTGGCTTGCAACTGAGGCTAATGCAGGGAGTATTTTCAAATGCAAATAACATTTATCCTTTTTAATTGAAAAAAAAATCTCCCTATTTAATGATATTTCCCCGCACAAGCCTCCATTGCAAGCTAGTTCCAGTCCAATACCGAGAATAAAAATATTGTCAAACAGAAAGATGTTCTTCCATGGCTGCATCTAAAACCTAGTTTACAACTTTTAATAAATAATGCCACTAGGTCAGTTAACTACAATGAGAGTTTCCAGGCTGCAAGCCAAGAGAAACTTACAGTAAATCATTCAAATATCTCATTTTAGTGTTGTTCCAGAAAATTTTGTAACCCCATTGAAGATTTTGGTTTGGTTGGACTCCACCCCTAACCCATCCAGAAATTCCAATTTAGTTTCAAAGATACGAACAAGAATTGGGGACTTTTAATGACCTTCCATGGAGTTGTATGGCTATTTTCTGGAGCCAAACAATTTTTATTTCAACTTCTGTCCAACTGAAACTTTGTAGAGAGGAGAGGATTGGGAGGGAGGGAGGGAGGAGTATCTTCTGAAAGAAGAAGTCTCTTCTGATTAGCAGACTAAAACTCTTCTCAACATTTCACTGAGAGGCAATAATTGTACAACTTGTGGTGTCTATTTTGTCACTTGTGTAAAAGCTCTAATTTTGGGAACCCTGTGGTGTCAATTTTGAGATGAACACTGATTGATGCTCTATGTAAGCTCAACATAAAGTCTCTTCATTCCACATTCACAGCAAAACTTGGCATTTTCCACAGGGTATTTAGTACCACACTCGTGACAGAATTTTGACAGCTTTTTTCCTGCACTGCCTTCTCTTTGACGACCAGAACCAAATTGAGCAGCGGTCTTGTGTGTTCTCCCTCTTGAGGAGACTGGTGTGTGGTCAAGTGTAGGTGAAGGGCTGTGACTGTCCATACCAAAATCATCAAACAGCGTCGGGCTTGGGTCTCGCACTGCAATATGTCTGGCAATGATATGAGTATTCGTCAGTCAGTGAAATTGATTTGGGTAAAAATACAGAGTTCCAGCATATAAAATTATTCAAANGTGTAGGTGAAGGGCTGTGACTGTCCATACCAAAATCATCAAACAGCGTCGGGCTTGGGTCTCGCACTGCAATATGTCTGGCAATGATATGAGTATTCGTCAGTCAGTGAGATTGATTTGGGAAAAAATACAGAGTTCCAGCATATAAAATTATTCAAACGACTGAAGTTTTCTATCTCTTTACTGACCCAATAAAATATTTTAAACTACCAGTCTTCATCGCAGACATAGAGATTTCATAAATAATAATAATAATGATAATGATAATGAAATTTATACAGGGGGCGTTCTCACATAAAGTGGTTTTCAGAATGGCCCTGTGAAAAATATTATAAAAACATAAAAGCTATACAAAACAATGCTACTTAAACATAAAAGATACGACATAAATAAAATATGATAAAATTAAGGCATGCATTCAAGTTTCTTTTGTTAGATACCTGTTTTTACGGCCTGATGATGATGATGATGAGATTCTGTCAGACACATCTGAGTAGTCTGATGAAGGGCGTGAGTACCTTGATCCTGACCCTCCTCTACCCCCAGGGATATCTGTATTTCCATTTGATTGGCTGGATCGGCGACCATATCGGGCTTCTCTTGTTTGTGTATTAGGTGAAGCTTCCTCATCCGAATCAAAGAAATTTGATGTCAGCTTTTCATTGCTTCTTGCTCTACCTGAAAATTTTGCTGCAAAAAAACCACTTTTAATTATGAAGTGTCATGGTATAATAATTAGAACTGCTGTGCTAATTGGGGACAACATAAATCAAGAAACAAATAATAATTTATTACATAAATAGAAGTGAACACTTATTACTTGTTATTTGGGACTGCCAAATACAAATCAGACTAGTAGCAGGGAGGACGATTAGCACCAGGAACCTACGGATTACAAGTCTAGCACACTAACTACCAAGCCATGTCGTCTCCAAGAGGATAAGACAAGAAGACAAGACAAGTAAACAATACTACAGTAGGTAAAGACCATACCAAACCGATGCTTCAGGGGTCCCAGACAGCTTATCCATGCTGGCATTCAACTCTAGTTTCCATAGCATGATCTAGCCACACTGAAGATGGGATGTAAGTCAAAAATTCACAGCACACCTGGATTTCACAAACGTTTTCAGCAGGAAGGCAACTGGTTTTCACAGGCAGGCAAAAATTTTGCACTGAACTCCTTTATAAGAAAAAGTTCCCTCTAGATGGTCAAACCAAGTGGGCAAAATCTTCCTCACAGCCAGTCAATTTTCTTGGTGCCTGGCCCTGAATGAAACCCCTACAGCACATCTGTCAGGTTACCCTGACAATCTGGCACTATCCACTCAGAGTGCATTTCTTTGGGACAGACCAGATCAGGATAAATGATGCAAGATTGATTCTCAGATAATAGTCCATCAAAAGAACATAGAAGTACAAATTCTAATCAAAAGTGTATTCATCAGTTCCTCTGATGTACCATACTCAGCTGATCTTTTGTCATTGATCCTGATGCAGATCATCTAAATGGAATACATGCTCATACCCTGAGTAAGAAGACAGTAAATTACCTTGCCCAAGATCACCTCAAGGCACCAAATCGATACAATCATATAGTGAGCATTAAACAAAACTATGATTTACTTTACAAACCTGTAGTTCCATTCACTTCTCGATTTCTCTGCTGGGAAGGTGAGGCATGTATTTTCCGTGTTGACCCAGGGCTTGCATGAGGCACCTGTTTTCTTCTTGAGCTTGGAGATGCAAGTGGCTGTCTGCTGTAACCTGGTGCAGGTAATTCATTAGTTACTAGCAATGCAATAAAGTGAGATATAACATAAAAATTATGTGAACACAGTGACAGGTCAATCATAAGTCTCTTGCGGCTACCAGTACCTTGACCAGGTGATGAATAGTCCAGTTCTGCTGTTGCTTTCAAAGAAGCTTGCCTGGCTCTTGTTGCTGATGATGTGGGTGTCGCAGATCCTGTGGAACTTTTCTTTCCAGGAAGAGGTGGTTTATACTGCTGACAAGAAATGGAGGGAAAACATCTTAACACACTGGCCTTACAGCAAGTTTGAAGACATCATAATTTAAGACGATAGTAGACTGAGAAACGGAATGTTCCTCACTGAGTGCTTTCATTTTCATCTGTAGTGCATATTAATTACTGATATATGTTAAGTTGCATATTACCTGTTTTCGCTTTGCCAGACTTTCTGATTTTGCTGATGATGCATTTGCAAGGCGACTCTTTTGTTCTTTACAAAAGGGTATGTGTCTCTCTGCTGCATGTTCATTGAATCGCCGACTGCAATGAGGACACTGTACATAATCTGGATTGGCGGCAGGTGGAGGAGGGGGTGGGAGAGGACCACCTGTTTTCTGAGCTGCCGTCACACCCCTTGCCGCCCTGAGATTAGAGATAAACTCTTCATGTTTAGCCCTCCAGTTTGACTGGGGAAGAAAATAATAATTTGTCATTCACCATGAGAATAATATGTTTGTTAGAGATTAAAGACAATTATTGAATGCCCATTAATTTAACTCCCATTGCTTTATATTCAGGCCACCTCTCCACAATGGCGAGGATTTTTTATCCTAGCCATACTCAAATCTAATAAGTTGTATTGCTCTGTTGAAAACTGCCCTAAAGCTGAGGGCTTTCAGCTGTTTTCCAAAGCATCAACTTGTTCAGAAACCACAGAACGTCAACAGAAAAAAGCACCCCACAACTACATGAATGTGCTATCAAAAAGTACCATAACACCAGTCAGCAACAAAAGTTAGTGGGTGGCCTGGGGGGGAGGGGGTACTCCCATATACAAGCTATATGGGTATGTGCCGCTGTGAAGGGTATTGTTTTCAGGCAGTTT